TAAACATAATTTAAATTATTTCGACACTAAATCTAAAATAAATTATAATAAAAAAACTTGAAATAAGAAAATTACATTAAAAAACAAGAATTTTTAAAAAGGTTAATTTGATACTTATATCGATATATATTTTTTCAAAATTTTATGATATTTTTAAATTTATATTTTATTTAAAAATAAAAACATTACCACGTTTTCAAAACCACATAAAAACATATTATATCAATATAAAAAAATAAAATAAAACGAAATACTGAAATCGAGATATATCTTGATGCATTGCACAAGTACCCTATAATAATATAATAAAAAGTTTGTTAAAAAATCTCACTTAAATGGACTCTTTATATTGACTCCGTACGTTAATTTTTAGTATCTCATCGTTTGATATATGTAAGGAGCTCCCTAGAAATAATCTATATTATTTATATTATATACAATTTGTTTATTTTATTTTATTCAGAAAATACTATTAAAATACTTTATATTTGTAAATAACTGAAAACAATATTTAACCAAATTCCCTTCTTTGAGGGTCTAGATGTCAAAACTATGAAAATAAAGGGGCTAATTATAACAAATGATAAAATGATTTAGAGTGAAATACAAATTTAACCCCTTGAATATCTCCTTTTTGCATTCAAGCACACACATTGTTGGAGTACAAAACAAAACCCAGAGTAGTTTTCTATTTTATCATCCTCAAAAATCAATTCATATTCATACCCCAATCAGTTTCTCTCTCTATTTCTCCTAAAGGTTAGCTTTCTTTAATCATATCGTCTGCTACGAGTTCCCCTTTGATTACTTTAACTAATTTCATTAATTCTTCATCTATATTCGTGTTCTTGCTGCGGGGGGTTTTGTGGAAAAATCGAATAGGTCTTGTGGGGTTTGATCGCTTTCTGTTAAGTCTTACGTGTTTTCTTCAGATGGGTGGGTTTCTGATTTTGAAGATGTTGAACTTGTGATGACTTGAAGAGCTTATTATTAGGGTTGCTTTGATTTTGAGATAGTGTATGCATATTTGGATTTTGCTAATAGAAAAGGGAAATAATTATGCCCAAATTTGATCACTTTGTTGGCTTATTTATTTGTGTATCAACTAGTAGAAGGTGTAAATAGAGTTGAATCTTTACTTTGAGGAATGTTGATACATGAAAATATAAATGCAAAAATAACCATATTACTTGTATAAAACTGATCATTATTGCAAAAGTGCAGTGTTTGTTTTCATAAATGCTTACTATAAAAGCCAAGAAACGATCTCTTGGTTAAAGAATCTATACTTCATGTTATATGGGTGTGGATTGTTTTTCTAAATCAGTTTTTATGTATTGTTTGTTAGTTCAGGGAAATGGCAAAGAGTTTATTCAAGCAAGAGCATGATCTTGGTGAGTTTTCCCTTTGTTGTATCAACATTTTGACTCCATTCATTTTTGTTCATGTTCATCGATTTCGTTGGTTCCATTTCAATGTATCTATGCATCTTGGATTTCATTTTTTGTTTGGATTCGGAGAAGTTTCATTGACTTTGAGTTGTGTATCGGTTTGTTTCAGAGAAAAGGCGTGCAGAGGCTGCTAGAATTAGAGAGAAATACCCTGATAGGATTCCGGTAACTGTTGATCTTTCTATAGATATATCATGTCTCTATAGATGACCCATTTTCGTGTTTGCCATGAAATTGAAGGTTTAATGTCAAGACATGTTACATTTCTTTTATTTGCTATAATTATGATGGAAATATAGGTTCTATCGTTGTTCTCTTAGATATTTATCTTTCTAAGGATTCTGGCTAAAAGGGCTTATGTACAAATTGTTTTCAAGCCTTGAAGATGCCACATGGCTTTTGAGGGTTCACTTGACCTATAATTTGTCTGACCTAGAATTTGATGTTTTATTCGCCCCATGAAAATCACGACAAGTTTCTACTTTGAGACGACTCGAATTCCAGCAATTCTTTTTTGGGAAAAGATTCTGAACAAAAAAGACTAATTTATCCTTGAATTTTTTCTTCTAGTAACGCATATTTCAAGTGATAGTATGTTCAACTTTCCCTACTTGCAGTTAAGTACCTCCTTTAGTTTGAGGTTAGTTTAGTAATTTTGTTCATTTTCAACTCTTTATGTGTGCCGTAACTGTTGCAAACCTTTATGGGGTGGTACGGTACCAATATCAATATTTCCAAGTACTTCATGTTGTTTAGATTTCTCTTCTGGTACTGGTCTCCTTCAAGAGAAGTATTTCTTTTGTGGGATATAGTTTCAAAACGAACTTGTTGATTTTGATTTGAGGTTAACTTTGATTTGGTTATTTTAAGGTGATTGTGGAGAAGGGGGAGAGAAGCGATGTCCCCAACATCGATAAGAAAAAGTATGTATTATGCTATAACTTTTCCTACCTTATTTGTTCAATTACTTAAGAGTTTGTTAAATGCTATGACGCTATTTGTGATTATACACATTTCGACTTATGTGGTCAAATATATTATTACTTTTAGGTCCCGTTTGATTTGTTGGATTTGGAATGAATTCTATTCCAATCTCGCATTTGGTTTAGAAGAAAGTCTAGAATAGAAATCGTGAAATCCACAAACATTGATTGGATTTAGAAATCCCGTGGGGGTAGTTGGTATTAATTTGTAAAATATATGAAAAACATTCATTTTGTAATAAACAATTAATAGAAGGTAATTTACTTATTTTTTTAATTATTTATAATTTGTTTTTTATAAATTATCTATAAAGAACGGAATTCAATTCCAAATCCTACAAACCAAACACACCAAAGATTCCAAATCCTTCCACGAGATCCAAATCCCTCAAAAACATGCTGTCAGACCAAGCGGGCGCTTAGTGTTTTGATAGAAGATTGATGTAGAACTATTTAGATTAGAATGAGATACGAATCAACGACAATCCTAAGCTTATGCAACACCGTCTTTAGTTTGTCCCGTACCCAACTAAAACATAAGTTGAACGAGTTTTCAATTACGCAAACCGACATCATAACTGAAAACAAAACAAGTCTAGTAGATTTAGATTTTGCCCTTGCCCTTGTCTATTGTCGATGTCTCGAGTCTTGAGATGTATACAACTAGTCAGCTGAATAGCTCAGTGATTTCATGGTTTTCTTGCCCATCCCGAAACATAACTTCTTAAGAACATTCGATAAACATATAGCATCATATAACGAAATCATGCACACAAAGAAAACTTTGTTTACACCTTGAGATCTTGTGAAACCTCGTATGGTATGGATTACTGTTTCTCTTTGTTGTTTCGCTCTGATGGGAGCTACCCAATCCTTGTCGACCTGCGTGCCTCATATGCAAAGTACTCAAACTCCTTTAAAATGCAAAGTACTGAAATACCCGATCCTTATGTAACATGTTGATGTGATATATAGCTTATAAAACACACAACGTGCATAATGGCAGTTCAAAACTATATACATGTTCAAAGGGTTCATCAGGTGACCTTTTCAAGTTGAAAATTGCAGGTACCTTGTTCCGGCTGACTTGACCGTTGGTCAATTTGTTTATGTGATACGTAAAAGGATTAAGCTAAGCGCTGAGAAGGCTATTTTCATATTTGTTGACAATGCCCTGCCACCAACTGGTAATCTTTCCTTCGTAAATACCCCATAATGAATTAAGTGTGTATTATCTGCAATAGTAAACAACCGGTTATACTGCTGTTTGTATCTTTTTAGAGAAAATAAGGTGAATACCATGAAGATTATAGAGTTTTAGATTGTCAGTCGGTTATATGTTTTTCATTTCCTCCCATGAGAAGACAATAAGATGTAGGTCTTGTGTGGTGAATGATAATAAAAGGACAAGATTGACATTGTGGGCACCTCTATGTTAACGTTCCCATCAAGAAAAATGGCGGGTCAAGGGAAAAATGATCTCGTTTGCAGTTAAAGCAGAGTCGAGTGGTGTGTTTTCAAAATACTACGACCTCATTGACTAGAATTGAAATATTCATGGACCTAAATGTGTGTATTAGGCTCAAGGGGGAAGTTCAAGAACCATAAATTTTTTGGAATTGTGAGAACCGGTATATGCAATATATATATATGTATACACGATGCATTCACAATATCAAATGTATATTTATCAATGTAGATTCAGGTTCAGGTTAAAGCCACAAAAAAGTGGAAAACTTGAACACCCTAATAATCATTCATTTACCTCGTATGTACATGTGCATAAATGTAATTGAAAATGTTTTCTGGTTTCTATGCACTGGTGCATTTTATGCACATGTGCATACCGACCAAATGAATGGTTATTAGGGTATTCCTTAGTTTTCCACTTTTTTGTGGTTTTTCCCGTAATCCAACCCTGTCAATGTATATGTACTATATATGCAAGTATATATATGTAGGCGAAATATCGTGTGAGAAGGAGGGTTAAGGTGAGAAGGGATCTGGACCCTTGGTCACATTTAATCTCAAACCCATCCATGACGTGCTTGATATGACGATTGATCCGGTGCATCTTGGTGCATCTAAAAGTGGAGATCCCTTCTTACGCTTCTCACCTTGACTCTCTTTCTCACCGGAACCCAACCTATATATGGATTGGTACATATACTTGTTGAAGTTAATATATTGTATATGCATCAATGTATATATTGTGTTTTCACAGTTCAGAAAATATTTATGGTTCCTTTGGTTCTTTTTTACGAATTGGTATCGAATCAGAGTTGGATTACGTTTGCTCTCAAAAGTCAAAACGTAACCAAAACGAGTATTTTTGCTGTGGCATTTCTTGCAGGGGCGATTATGTCGGCTATATACGAAGAAAAGAAGGATGAAGATGGTTTCTTGTATGTTACCTACAGCGGAGAGAACACATTTGGAGACCATTGACATTTTATTCGTTTTCTTGGTCTTTTCTTTCCTTGTATTTGGGATCTTGTTCTTTTATCAAGAAGGTACAATCGTAGAACTGTATATAGTCTAAACTCCAAGTGTTTGTCTGTTAATAATCATTTGCTTTTCATTTTATTGATGAATGTTTGATGTCTTCGTATTGATTTTGAAACGTTTCTTGTTCGTTTTATAAAAAACCGAGCAAATTATGTGATTTGATATTGTCATTGTCGGGTATTACATATTGCATCGATTTGTTTTAAACTCTTTATTGAATTTAATCGACTTTTATTTGAAGGGTCGGGTTTAAGGGAAATTGCAAAAACTAAGAAACATTCTAATGATTATTCATCGATACAGTATGCACATGTGCATACAGTAGTTTGTCCGGATAACATACATTTAAACTAGAAAATATCTTCATTTACTTGTATGCTTATGTGTATATCGTATTTTCATTTTATGGGTTTTTCCCCTAACCTCAATCTATATTTAAAATCTAAGAATGTAATTTAGTTAACGGAATTAATTGGAGCGCCCATTGTTTTGATTTAAGGATGCTAGTTATTATATATAAAATTGGAGTGAATGGTTTTTCTAAAACAGCCTTCTACATGACGGTAAGACTTTGGGGCCATCTTTTAAGGTCTAGAATCCATAAATTTCAAATTCTAAAATACGGTCAAATGTCAATTCCCTTTGTTTCAAGTTTGAACCATATTCGTCATATGTCATTAAAATATTATTTTGATTTGTTTTTAAACGTATTCTATCATTAATTTTATGCTATTTCATGATTATAGTTGTAAGATATGCAATTATAGTTGTACATTCTTAGGTTTGAACTATATCATATCTCCATGCAATTGTTATCCGTGCGTCGTGCGTGACCATCATGTCTCCCATTACCTGCCCTACCCTCTCCAGTCGACCTTTATTCTCCTTTCTTATTTTAATTAAAATACAAATACGACCGCTGGTATTCTTGCATTTCCTCTATATAAAACCCCATTTCATCGTCAAATCAAATCAAATCAAATCCATCCGTCACTCCACAGATTATACAGTTTTTAGACGCACAAAAATGCAGAAAACTGCTTCGTCTTCAACCTTGGGTCCAGATGGTTTAGATATTGCTCAATCCTTCTTTAAACCCATTCAGGGTTCATTCCCACCCCCACCGACCAGCCGGAACACCAAAATATCCGTCGTTGGTGTCGGCAACGTTGGTATGGCCATCGCCCAGACCATCCTCACTCAAGACCTTGCCGACGAGATAGCACTTGTCGACATTAACGCCGACAAACTCCGCGGAGAGATGCTAGACCTACAACACGCGGCCGCCTTCCTCCCACGAACCAAGATCTCCGCCTCCGTTGATTATTCCAGCACTCTGGGATCGGATCTCGTCATCGTTACCGCCGGCGCCCGCCAGATACCCGGAGAGTCTAGGCTAAACTTGATGCAGAGGAATCTGGCTCTCTTCTCTAAGATGATCCCCCCTTTGGCTGCAGGGTCGCCGGAGACCATTCTGCTGATCGTCTCGAATCCGGTGGATGTGTTGACTTATGTTGCTTGGAAACTATCCGGGTTTCCATCGAATCGGGTCATTGGGTCCGGTACTAATCTGGATTCATCCCGATTCAGATTCCTCATTGCTGATCATCTTGACCTTAATGCTCAGGATGTGCAGGTGAGTTACATCGACGATTTATGTATTTATTATAAATATTAATTTGAATTTATCCCCATTTTTGTAGTGAATAGAAATTATTTAAAAAAATTAAAAATGCAATTGTAAATTAAAATCAACTAGTGGAATCTATTATGGTTTTAATTTATAAGTTTAGTAATTTAAAAAATATCTCATATTTGAATCTCATGCTATTTTATCTCTTCGTGTTTTAGGCTTATATCGTGGGGGAGCACGGAGACTCGTCTGTGGCTTTATGGTCAAGCATAAGTGTAGGAGGGGTCCCGATTCTTAGCTTCTTAGAGAGGCAACAAATTGCGTACGAGAAGCAAACACTCGAGAAAATCCACAAAGAAGTTGTGCAGGGTGCATATGAGGTAATAAGCTTGAAAGGCTACACGTCGTGGGCCATTGGCTACTCTGTGGCTAGCCTAGCTCGAAGCATACTCAGAGACCAACGTAGCATCCACCCTGTTTCGGTGTTGGCCAAAGGGTTCTATGGCATTGATGGTGGCGAGCCGTTCCTTAGCCTACCGGCACAATTGGGGAGGAGCGGAGTATTGGGGGTCACAAACGTACATCTTACCGAGGAGGAGTCCCAACAACTACGAGAGTCTGCAAAGACCATTTTGGAGGTGCAAAGCCAATTGGGTGTTTGACTTGATGGCATAACGTTATGTAAAATTGCTCGCTTTTATGTACCTTTTAAGTTCGATGTTCTCGTAACCAGTGATTTTAATATCAAAAATAATATTCACATCCTAACAAGTGCTATCAATTAAGAGACACTTCGTACACGATTAAAAACACTTGTGTATTGCATGCGTATGACTACCCTTGGGGGTTTTTTGTACCCAACACGAAATGGACGGAATAGTGTTTCAATTCATTAAATGCAAGAAATGTCTTAACCTTATATAGCCAACAATTAGCAATTAATGGCAATGTTGGTTTATGAAAGGGGAGTGAACGCATACAAAGATTAGTATGCAAATTGACATACATACACAACACGAAAATGATATTAGGTATTGTCAATGTCTAGTGTCTTACTCGGAAATGATTGGTTAAACGACTACATTGATTCATGGATTTCATTTTTGAGGAAAGTTCTCAATAACCTTTCATTTCAATGGATACATATCATAGACCATGAAATTAGTAGCTGTTTAACAAAACTTCAATACGACACTATGCAAATACAAGTATAATAATTAAATAAAAAATCAATATGTAGGACATAAGACGATAACAATTGTCACATACATAAAGTCAAAAAGTAGTTAAACCCGAATTTAAGTTATGGAACATGCATCTTCAATGATAAGTTGATCAATAGTTGAAGGATCTTCAGCTGCAACACCAGACTTTTCAGCGATAGGCCGTACCTGATTCATCAATACCTAATGCGAGACCACCGCCTAGGGGCTCAACCTCTTGAAACCCCGGCCCCGCAAGGAGGTGCGACCCCCTTGACCCCCGCTTTATGGCGATCTAAGGTGATAAGGGCAACATTTGTAAGTATGCACTCCATACCACTTAACTTACGTATGTTTGCCTTATTGCCTTTTAATCGATCTCAAGTAAATCACAATTACACCAAAAAGTACTTGATGACACTAAAATTATCAACAACAAGTGTTCATCAAATCATCATTTGGTCTCTTTGGTTGCTTATATCTACCATCATTATTCCTTGTACACAGTTTTGGTAGATGACTAAATAGTAGTCGAGTGAGAAGGGATATTGTTTGAGCTGTGCTTGCTTTTTACGTAACAAATACATAAATTTAGACAGTTTACATTTACTATCATCAAAACTTATAGATCAAAATTAAAAGATTGTTATATTATTTTTATTCTTGTTTTAGTTTAAATAATATAAATTTATGATGTGCATGTATAATAGAAATAAAACATATTAATGTGATTAAAATTAGAAAAAAGTAATTAATATGATTAAAAAATATAAAACTAGGATTAATAAATATGTTTATTTAAACATCTTTTTATATATTCCTTAAAAAAAATCTATAAAAAGGCTGGATTACCGGAAGGTGTAATGGGCTGGGCCGTCCGGGTCAGTTCGAATTGCGAAGCCCCTTCTATGCACACAAGACTGTGAGCCGATCTTCAAACTACTCATCGTCGTGTTGCATTACAGTTTCATCTACCAATTTGAAGAATCCGATCGGAAAATAATAATGGCCGGAAGACTGAGTCATGCCGCGTCTCAGATTATGGGCGGAAACGGCATCGTTGGCCGCTCCGTCGCATCGTCTCTTCGTCTCCGCTCCGGTATGGGTTTACCAGTCGGCAAACATATCGTTCCCGATAGACCTGTAAGTTGTAATTCTCTCTCTCTCTCTCTCTCTCTCTCTATCAATGTTCAGATCACAAGCTATCGGTTGGTATCAATTTCAAATCAATGTGATTTTTGATGTCGTGGTTGGAATTTCGTTCAAGTCCGTTTCAGGAAAAAAAGGAACGAAACCCTAGGGATCAATTAGTGAAGACTGAGCAAAATTCTAGAAAAATTAACATGTATGAGTGATCAAATAGTATAAAATATCGGTTTTGAAATGTGCATGATCGATTATCATTTGGACATGGTGGTCCTACGTAACGGAAAGGTCCAAGGAGATTATGTTTCTTGATCTTTTTTATGTTGAATTTATTTACTGAGAGTTGAGAATATTGAACAATTTTATTTGTTTGCTTCAGCTTCCTGTAAATGATGAGCTTGTATGGGACAATGGAACTCCATTCCCTGAACCCTGTATTGACCGCATAGCTGAAACCGTTGGAAAGGTAAGAGTTTGGATTTTGTCCTTCTGCTGCATTTGTAGGGAAGATTTATATCAACTTCGTTTCTCTCTTCGTATTGAACTCATTGAAGGTATGTCTGTTTTCAGTATGAAGCACTTGGCTGGTTATGTGGTGGATTGGGATTTTTTGCTACTCTTGGATTGTTGGCTACCTGGAACGACAAAGCGTCTAAGATACCATTTGTAAGTCACATGATTTTGATACTGAATATATGGTAAGGAGAAGTCCAAAAATTACATGTTGAATGAATAATACTTAAAAACACAAAGCTTCAAGAATTCAAGCGAAGTGAGATGAATTCGGAAGAGGAACTTGTGCATATTAAATTGCTTAAAGGATAATCTCATTAGATAATTGGATACCCTATATATTTTTTGGGCAGAAAGTAGTTTCTGAATAGTAGGTTGTGTGGGAGTGTACATGATTTATTGACTTTGTAGTGTTTTAAGGTCATCAGTGATTCAGTTCTAGTTCTTATGTTAAGCATAGCTAAAGTCAAACAACACAATTGATCAGCCCATCTGATTTTAATAACGAATGACGGATCAATTTGCCGACATATGAATGTATCATCTCAAAGAATGCCTATATTTTGTTGGTGGAATGATATTATATTGATTTTGGAGGTTATCTAGTTTGATGCTGGCACAATAAAGAGGTCTCATGCTATCTTATTTATTAATCACATGTTGAGAATGTGCTTATACTTTCTTCAGGTCTTTTATGTGGAACTATCACAGATTCCAGAAACATAGCTAAAAGCTAATGACCTGGTGAGGAACTAAACATTTGAGACCCTTTTTCTTAGGCTAAAGTCACAAAAGAGTTAAGAGATAAATATTTTAACTTTTTAGATATGCGAAGATACTTCTTTAGTTTACGAGGAGTTTGCCACTTTGAATCAAAAGGAGTTGTATCTCACAAAAAGAACCTTCTTTCCATGGTGGAACTGTTTACCATGACTGAGCTCTGACCTTTCTGTGTGATCACTAGCCAAACTGCATAATTTGAGTTGCGCAAGGGTCTTATATGTTTTCATTACCTTGATTTGTATCTCTTTCATATATACTTCCATATTTGTACGCAAATATGCAAACCGTACAATATCAAGATTCATGCTCATATGGTTGTGGAATATATAAACGTTCTGTAGATACAACATTTGGCGAACACTTGATCCAGCCTTACAATTTGGTTCTTGGTCTGTACGGTAGTTGAAAGTTGAAATACATAAGATATAATTTGAACAAGTTTTTTTCACTTTCCTTTTGGAATTAATATTACCTTTGAGTGGGTGAAAGTATTTGCTCCAAGTATTGCATTTTCTATCTAGATTTGATCACACTGGAACACAAATATTAAGAGGATTGATCATAATTCATACCAATTATTAAACCCCTTTGTACTCAGTTTTGCCATGAAACCCGCCTTGTACTGAACTCAGGAAAAACTTTCTAGAAGTTTCAAACTGACTGTTCAGGTAGTAATATTCATTTAGATACAAGTTACTGCTGACATGATATTTAAAGGCCCATGGGATACTATGTACTGTTGAGGGAGAGAGATATGTTTTGGTTTGGTTAAAGATGAGTAAGAAGTGGGGAAGGGAGGGTGTTTTGGCATGACTCACTACTTACATGTGAACTGAAGATGATGCAGCAAACTTGTCCATGTCTGTTAACTTATGGGGAAAGGTGAGAGAGTAATGCTCGACAAGCTCAGTATTAAGGCATAGGAGGGACTGCTACATAGTCACTCCTGTGTTGTGGCTCAATAAACCAACTGCAAATAGTGAGATTGCTAAGTCAATGATGGCTGAAAGCTTTTACTAATAAGGAAAAGAAAACACAGAGAGATAACTAGCAATCCGAGAAGCTAGGGGTCTCCCAAATCAAAACCAATTTCTGGCTGCCTCTCCCCCCACACCTGAACTTCTATTTAACATGACGTATAACAGAAACAGCAATTAAAATTCCTCCTCTGCTCTCAGGAAATAATCCCCTGCTGCCAAAAGGCCCAAAACTAACTGATGCCTTATTCCCTATCACATGTTGTCCCGTCCCCAACCTTCTTCTGCTGGGTCTTCCTTCTAGTATAGGTAAAATGAATTGGTGGAAGCATTGCATCCCGATTCCTGGCACCCATTTTCAGCTTGTATTCAACAAGGCTTATTGTGTAGTCGAAGCTTTTGATGGAGGAATCTTCAAAGTCCTGCTCCCAAAAGCAGACAAGGCCACACATTCATCTTTTGGTAAAAGAAGGCTTCTGGTGGCAACCAAGTCATGCAGCCAGAGGTTCAACAACCTCAAAATAGTTTTTTTTATCCTGGAGCAGTTTGCTCATCCAAGTTGGATTCAGGAGGCATCTTGCTACATTTTGAGGGGATTTCTTAACCTGTTGCATATGTGTGTGGAACTACTTGTGGGTATGCACTGGTGCTCTAATTAGGATTTGGAGACCTCCCTCTCTTGTTAGAAGAATATTTTTCTTTCCCTTTATGAATGGTCCATGGCTCCATGCATGTGGTGACCAGTAATTTGGCCAGGCCCAAAATAAGCTCTACTGTTAAGGTTGTTCTGACATTCATACGGCCTAGTTGATCAGATGGACGCTCATAGGCTAGTCAGTTATCGTCATCATCACTTGATAAGTATCATGTATTTCAACTCAGAATTGCAATGAGGATTGTCGATATGGCACTGCGAACTCTCTTTGTTATGGTGGACGGTGGACCCACTCATTTCTAGGTTTCATGATCTTTTTATCTTCTAAACTGGAAAATTTCCTGGTTGCGTAATTATGCTCAAAATGTTATTGCATGGAGGGTTATATTGGTTTAGAACCAGCTATTTCAAGACTTTCAGAGGACTTGCTGATGCAGCTTAGGTTCTAGATGCAACCTTTGTCCATGATCTGAACGAGTTATTACTTATGAGTAAGAAACTATTTCTTGGATGCATAAATGAAATGGAAGAAGAACATCAATAAATCATTGGCTGCTTGTAATTGAGGACCTTCTAATGATTACCTTTATGCAAATATCTCTGTATGTTGGTCAACGTTACTAATTAAATGAGAAGATATATAATTAAATGATATACCTATCAAAATGGCTGGCAGGGAAGGTTGTGAGAACCGATACATGTTGTTGGACTTGGACCTATAAATTAGGGACTAAATCTATGCAGCCACCAAATTTGTCCTAAACTCACCTTTTGTATTTCTTCCCTTGAAGAGAGAAAATGTGCTATAACAAGCATACTTGCTCTTATACAATGTTTGGTGGTCATTGTAGATTTTTGTGCTTTTACATATAGACCAAGGATCGTGTGAGAATAGGAGTTAAATTAAAAAGTGCAAGAAGGGATTTGGACCCTTAATCGCTTTTAATCTTAAAATAACCCATGAATTGATCCAGAACAAGTAGAAGAAGTTTTGTTTTTATATAATCGTGGCACTTGATGAACCTTATAAATTTATAATGTTTCTGCTGGTGGGCACTTGTTTTAGGGTGCAGTGATTGCTTCCTTTATGGAAGACCATACCTAAAAGAATTTTCGTTTGGCTATTTGTAGTACAATGTAATCTGAAGAGTTGAGTGATACCTGCATCGAGTGTATTAGAGTTAGAGTTTGTTGAGTTATAATAATAATTACTAGTATTTATTTGTTATGAACAGGCCCCTAAGGTATTTCCGTACGACAACCTTCGAGTGGAGCTTGGTGGAGAACCCTAGGATGATCATCCGGTATGTCAATCTGTGTATTTGTTTGTTGCATTTGGGGTTTGAACTAGTAAAGGAATAATGATAATGGTATCATCATGTTGAACAAATTAAAGCAGCTGAGACTTATGAGAAGATTTTCTTGTTTCAATGTTGTTTTTTTCTTTCCAAAAGCTATAACTAAGGGTGTTTTCTTTATTCACTTCTGCTTTGTGTATGTGCATGGATAGTCTGAGAATGATTTCCATGATTAACTATTATCCCATCAAAAGTGAACCATCCATCTAAAGCATAGGATTCGATGATGTCTTGGATTTATTATCATTGTTCGTAAAAGGCCTATTGTTTTGTGTTGATACAAATGATCTGTAACCCCGTGGATGTACATTATCATACAGATCGTGCAATCATGTTAAATCTGGTGTTATTTGCCTGGTGGTTTGAGATATCCATTAGTTAGCTTAATCTGCTCAGCTCTTATCTCATACTGTCAACCATTGATGTGATATTAGATTGAAGATTTGATTGACCCCCTATTATCCGTCATGATGTACATACCTTGGGTCATTATTTCTGGATTTGGAAGTCATCTTAGCGGCTGATTGTATTTTTTCACATTAAGGGGCTGTTAGGTTGTGAATTAATGGAGTGAATAGGCTGGTATGGCTTAGGGAGTAAGCCAACAGGCTTAATGCTTCAACCAAGGGCTTATTTGGTCAGCTTAAAAAGTAGATTCAGGAAGAAATTACCCCAAGAATGGAAATTTTCATTTTTATCCACATCCCCTTCCTTTCATCTACTTCCTCCTCTAAGAGCAGTCTTTCTCCTTCAACCCTTTTATTGAACACATTTAATCGATATTGATATGGGTTCTTGTCTCGGGAGATCTCTAATGCAACCACACTCTTTTGAAAATATTTAGTGGATCAAAGTCAAATATAACAATTCTTGAAACGTATTAATGATTTTGAAAAATTATTAATTAATTAAGATGTATATGATTGATAAACTTTGTTTTCATCTGTATTATACTAATACATAACAATGATGCACATTTTTTTAATAGTTCCAAGTATAAAAATAAAAAGTGTAAGAATTAAAATAATTTCATCGTATTTAATAATGATTAAATAAAAAATATTTAATATTGATCTCATTTGAAGGTATTGGCGGGATGATTATAATGATGTAATTTGTAAAAAAAATATTTTAATTAGTATATGATTATTTAGGTTAATAAGATAATGATGTAGAATGAAAAATGAAAAAGTAAAAAGTATTAAATAAATTAAATAAATAAGGGTATAAAGTGTAAGTGTTAAAAATAATTTCATGGTATTTATGATATATAATAATATGATTAAATGCAAAAATATTCAATATTGAACCTATTTTGAAGGTATTAACGAGAAAACTATAATAATGTAATCTGTTAAAATAAATATATTTTTAACTTATTTTAGTTAATGTATGATTATGTATGTTAATATGATAATAATATAAAATAAAAAATAAAAAGTAATGATTATAAAATAAGTTAAATAAGTAAATATAAGAATGAAAAGTGTAATTTTCAAATGAAGTTGAAAATATTGGTGAGAGGAGGAGATATGAATAAATAGGTGGGGTGGGGGGAATCTTTAGCGACCCCTTTGCCAATCGATACCTTATGTTACAATATAAAGTCTCAAATCCACCAATGTTGGCATGTGTAACATGCTAAAATAGATTTATCTGAAAATGATATTATTCCATAATACAATTATCGTTCGTGGTGGAAATAGAGAATCATGCAATGTCTTTCCTTTTATCCCATTAATAGGGTGGGCATGGTGCAAGGGCCTCCGCCCTATCATTCCATTGTATTGGATTTCTTTTTACCGATTGTAACTGTTCACCTATTTAGTTTTGAAGCGTGTTTTTATACGTTTTCCAAGCCAAACATGAAACAGAAGTGTGAAGTTGTTGGAATGGTTGGTTCTACTTGCTTTCTTTTCAAAGTTGTGGGTTTTATTTTTATTGACGATAAATTCTGATTTTTCATGTTTTAAAAATCTAGTTATCAGAAAAAGGCAAATAAAAATACAAAGTATTGAGCAAGGCCTCAACCATAAAATAATAAAAACCTACCATTCAATTACTACTATTTTTATTTAGAATTGTCCCGATCTTACTTTCACTTCTGGTTTTAATCCTTTTTCCTTTTAATTTACCCATTAGTTCAAAACTTGTTTTTTTGTCTCGTTCTAATGATAATACATGTTTATTCGAAATAAATTGAAAAGGAAATTAAATTAATCACATTTAACAATTAATACTTTATATGAGTGAGTTGGGTTCACGTGAGACCAATGGTTTTTCGTGAGACCCGTAAGACAAAAAAATGTGAATAATAAATGGTTGTGATTTAGTTATATTTAAAAATTAATTATTAAATTAATATTTTCAATTAACATATGTGAACAAAATATCAAAGAGTATTTAGGTAAAAAGTAATATATCTTTGATATACGAGTTGTCAGACATATGAACAACTTGTGTATATCTTCAAACCACATCAAACAAAAAAGATTAGACATGTGAACATGTGAACCGTATGAACAACTTGTGTATATCTTCAAACCACATCAAACAAAAAAGATTAGACATATGAACAACATGTGAACCGTATAAACATCTTCTGTATATTCAGGAGCCAACTCTGCTGTATGTACATGAACACCTATGAACCAAGGTATCTAGGGCTGTGTGTTTTCATACGTGTTCACATGTTTTCACATGTTCTGTATGTGTATATGTATTTATATGAACATCTAGTGACTTGAATATACATGAACACTTATGAATCACGACATCTAAGGCTGTGTGATTTCTGATRTGTTAATATGTCAAAGGTGAGAACTGTCGATTAAAATAAATGTGAATTATAGAACATGAACACGTGTGAAACCCCAATGCCAATATTGCATCATGATCAATTATGATATTTTCAAATTTGTAACTCCCAATTAATTATTTGGGAGTTATATAAAATGATAAATTACTTAAATACCCTTGTATTTAATATATGAGTTACATTTGAACCAAATGAAAAGATGTAATATGATTGGTTGAGCTTGGTTAACATAGTTAACACAAAAAAATTGGTTAATATTTGAACCAAACTCTCTCTCTCTCTCTGTATATATATATATATATATATATATATATATATATATATATCTGCAGGGTCCCAAATGAATTGGCTTATTTGAAATTGTTCTTTGGAAGATCTATCTCGTGTCCGGTACTACATGGTTCCACTCTGCAAGAACTCCGAATCATTCTCTTGAAACTCATCCTCTTCATCATAAATGATTTGTTTGCCCCGAAATGACCTGGACCAATAGGGAAATCCCAATTCTTTGGGCTTTTCGATACAATCAAATAGAAAGCCACAAGGGCGCCATATTCTAGGAGCCCAAATTATGTGATTGAATAAATCCTCCTCTATCTGTTGCGGGTTGAGGGCTCCTTCTCCTTCCCCCTCTTCAAACTCCGATTCATCTTTTTATATGAGTTATATATATATATATATATATATATATATATATATATATATA